TCAGTGTCAGCTACCCCCAGCCGGCTCAGGCTCCCCCGGGGCCTAGATTCTACCAGTCTTCCTTCCAGTTGAGGCCAGGGGGTAAGGATTATGGACACAAAAATGGAAGTGTGCATAAACACAGGTACACCGCCGCCCACCATGCGAGGCCTTCGCATACACCTGCAAGCACATGGGGTCAGGCGTGCACACTGAGAGTCAGGTGTGCAAATGCAAACTCAGGACACCCGCATACACGCTCAGAGCACACATGTGTATACCCCCACGTGCATGCCCAGGATACACATGTATGCACATCCACGAGCACACAGACAGGCATGTGTGCCTTGGCTGGGTAGCTCAGTTGGTTGGGACGTCGTCTGAATTGCCAAGGTTGCAGGTTTGATCCCCGGTCAGGGCACATGTAAGAGTCAATCAATGAATGCATAGATAAGTGGAACAGCAAATCGATGTTTCTCTCTCCCTTTTTCTCTCTTACAAAAGAAAAGCAAGACAGGCATTTGTGTACACACAAAGGACATGAGGCAGAGGGTGGGGCACGCTCCTGAACAGACATAGCATAGACCCCGGTGCAGATGAGGGCAGAAACTCATGCATCCACAAACCTGCTCCCCACAGGGGGTCACACACATGCACATAAGACTGGCACCCAGGTGAACTGGCACACAGGCCGCACGCCTCTGGTGTACTCCCTCCCCGTCCTCCTGTCCAATATCTAGCCTTCCCCAGGCTTGACTCCCGGAGGCAGGAGAGGTCCCAGGTGGGAGGGAGGCCAGGAGTCCAATCTGCAGCAGCAGCTGCACTCCAGCTGTGCTGGGGCCACAATGGGACTCCTACCCCCGCCCTCCCTACCCCAACCTCTAAGGTCCTTAACGCTGGAGGGAGAAGAGTGTAGGGGGCAGCAGGAGTCTAGCAGAATGGGGAAAGCCACGGGCCTGGGGACTGCTCACTCTTCAGGAAGACTTTCCTGGGGCCTACCTTCCCATACCTCCTTCCTGTCCTCTTCGCCACACTGCCATAACTGCACTAGTACCAACCTTGCTGGGTTAATGG